CAACCAAAATGCACCCACTATTATGACTAGACAAGGTTTTAGGAAAGGAAAAAGATTAGAAAAACAAGAACAAGGTATAGCAGCACCAATACAAATAGATCAAGGAACAGACAGACATGGGTTGGATTTTCAGAAAGGGCCACTGAGACAATAAAAATTACTTGGAAATCAGAAAGACCAGTATGGGTTCCTCAGTGGCCCCTGACTAAAGAAAAGATACAAGCAGCCCATGACCTGGTCAAACAACAATTAGCGGAAGGACATATACAACCTTCTGTATCTCCCCATAATACTCCCATTTTTGTCATCAAAAAGAAATCTGGTAAATGGAGATTATTGCAAGATTTAAGAGCCATTAATAATGAGATGGTTATTATGGGACCTGCTCAATCGGGGATTCCTCAGTTGTCTGCTTTGCCAAAAACCTGGTATGTTTTAGTTATAGATATTAAAGATTGTTTTTTTTTCAATTCCAATTCATCCTGAGGATAGTCCACGTTTTGCATTTACTATCCCTGCACTGAATCATGAAGGTCCTGATCAGAGATATGAATGGAAAGTACTCCCTCAAGGGATGGCTAACAGCCCAACTATGTGTCAAATTTATGTTAACAAAGCAATCCAGCCACTTAGAAATCAAAATCCTACACTACAAATATTTCACTATATGGATGATGTATTGTTAGCACACAAAGATTAAAACACATTGCTAGAATGTTATGCCATACTTACAAACTTATTAAAAAATTATAATCTAGAGATAGCAATAGATAAAGTACAATTAAATTTTCCAATTAATTATTTAGGAGTTCTATTATCCTCAACCATGGTCCGTCCACCAAAAATTCAAATACGAGTAGATCAACTCAAATCACTTAATGACTTTCAAAAGTTATTAGGAGACATAAATTGGATAAGGCCTTATCTAAGTATACCAACAGGAGAGTTGGGACCTTTATTTGATATCCTAAAAGGTCCATCAGATCCAAATTCACCCCAAATGTTAACGCCTGAAGCAAGAAAGGCATTAAAAATCATTGAAACATATATGGAAAATATGCATTTGGATAGAATTGATATAAGTTTGCCTTTATTATTTATTGTACTACCAACAAAAAATATTCCTACAGGAGTATTTTGGCAAGAAGGTCCATTATTATGGATACATTTATCTTATTCTCCTAACACTATTCCTACTAGGTATCCTGAGGCTGTAGGACAATTAATACTCAAAGGAATAAAAGCAGCAAAGGGAGTGTTTGGAATTTCTCCCAATAAAATTATTACTCCATATACTATGAATCAAATTGATGAGTTAGCTAATGAGTTAAATACTTGGGCAATAATCATGTGCAAATCTAATGTTTCATTTGATAATCACTTACCATCTAATCCTTTGTTGCCTTTTTGGTCATTGCATCCTGTAATTTTTCCAAAAATGACAAGAAAAACACCTATCATGAATGCTCCAAATATATTCACTGATGGGTCAAATAATGGTACAGCAGCAATAGTTACACCTGATCAAACTTTTACATTTTTAGTACCCAAACAATCAGCTCAAAAGGTAGAGCTTAATGCAGTATTACAAGCTTTTGTGATGTTTAAAGATTCTGTATTTAATTTATTTTCTGATAGTCAGTATATAGTTAATGCTATAGTATCCCTTGAAGATGCTGGTAGGAATTCCCCTTCCTCTACTGTTTTCTCTTTGCTTTCCACTATACAAAGTCTAATCTGGGACAGAAAAAATCCATTCTTTATAGGACATATCAGGGCACATACAGGATTGCCTGGAGCCCTTAGTTTGGGCAATGATTTAGCAGATAAAACTACACATGACATACATATTTTCTCTACACTAGAAGAAGCTATAAATTTTCATAAAAAGTTCCATGTCAATGCTAATACTTTACAAAAGCATTTTAAAATAACTGAGGAACAAGCTACACAAATAATAAAACAATGTCAAAATTGTGTGACCTTTTTACCACAAGTTAATCTTGGAGTCAATCCTAGAGGATTGATACCTAACCATGTTTGGCAGATGGACGTCACACACTTGCCAGAATTTGGAAAATTAAAATATTTGCATGTTACAGTTGATACTTCTTCTGGATTTTTGATGGGCTCCCTTCATGCCGGAGAAAAAACTAAAGATATTATAGTTCATTACTTACAAAATTTTGCCACTGTGGGCGTTCCTAAACAGTTAAAAACCGATAATGGTCCTGGCTATACCTCTACCTCTTTTAAACAATTTTGCTCATCATTTGGCATTACTCATATAACAGGAATCCCATACAATCCACAGGGACAAGGCATAGTTGAAAGAGCTCATCAAACTATTAAAATGTACTTATTAAAGCAAAAAGAAGGAATTGGGAAGGGGTATATATTCCCCAAAGATAAACTGAAAATAACCCTTTTTACTCTAAACTTTTTAAATTTGGATTCATCAGGACTTAGTGCTGCGGAAAGACATATGTGTCCAAAAAATGTACATAAGCCTAAGGTACTTTGGAAGGATATTCTAACAGGACAATGGAAAGGTCCTGACCCAGTAATTGTCTGGAGTCGGGGGTCTGTTTGTGTGTTTCCACAGGGAGAACAGCAGCCGATTTGGATTCCAGAGAGATTAACTAAGGTTCTGACCCAGTGATTGTCTGGAGTCGGGGGTCTGTTTATGTGTTTCCACAGGGAGAACAGCAGCTGGTTTGGATTCCAGAAAGATTAACTAAAGCGATTTCTACAGACCAAAAAGAAGATGATTTGGCTCAAATCCATAACAACTGATATCCAAAACTCCAGTTTGGCTACCCTTACATCTGCGACAGAACCAGGATGCTTTTTTCAATATCTATTTTATTATTGCCCTTTGCCATATCATGAAGTTCTATTTTGTTTTTTGAGCTCATACAGACCTAGGTTAATGTTTTGCTGATCAGTTCTATTTTTTTGACTATAGAGTTTTTAAACATTGCAATGGAGATTTCACCTGTAAAAAGTTATAAGGCCTTTACTATTATGTTATATGTTGTATGTATTATATTATGTGTGCACACTTGTGTTTTGTGTTATATGTTTGAATGTATGTATGTCCATATATCATATATGATGAGCGCTCATGAAAAAATGGATCCAAATATTTTTTTTCACGTGATTTAAATGGCTTAATTTAAATTGGGTAAGCAGCTGTTGAGGATTGTTTTAATATATGAACAAAAAAGGAGGTTAACAGATCTGTTTGTTTACTTTCACCTTTCTTTTTCATTATATTTAATAATTCTGTTGAAGATAAGGTACATTGTTAAAAAAATTGTTTTCTAAAAAAAAAAGAAAAGAAAATTGTTTTCTTGCATTGTGAACTCACTTGTATGCATTGTGAACTATCTGTTGGTGCAGCGACTTGTGGTAGTGTTGGGGTATTTATGCTGATGGTGTCATCGGTGGTACAATTTTTCCAAAAGGAGCCATCACTGAACTGCTTGCAGAACTTGCCTGGACTATGTATCACTTGTATGCACTGTGATGCATTGTGAACTATCTGTTGGTGCAGTGACTTGTGGTAGTGTTAGGGTATTTTTACTGATGATGTCATCGGTGGTACAATTTTTCCAAAAGGAGCCGTCAATTGGCTTGGTGTATCTTCCTCCCTTCTGCTTGTCATGGTCGTTCAGCTAAAATTTGGGGGCAAACAGAGGTGAGGCAAAGAACCTCACCCCCCCGCTGATACAAAGACCTATCCACAGGTGTGGCTGTATACCGGACCGGTAGTCAGTGACAGGTAAGATCCAATTGCAATGGTACCAACCTAAGACAGGAGGCTGACGCCTTGAGGTCAGCTTATCGGATAACGTGTAAGGACCATATGTACTATTGGACAACCTAAGGCAGGCATGGTCCCTAAGCCACATGCTTGTTGTTTAAACAGAGAGGGGGAGATGGATGTTGAGAGCCACAGCTGAAGGGGCCCCAGCAAACTTCCAGCTGCCAGCAAACTTCAGACTGCCAGCTGATGATTGGCTCACAGCGGCCCAGCAACATCTAGCTGATTGACTCCTCTGCGGTGATGCTCATTGGGCTGTTTCCCTGCCCTTTCAGACCACGGAGCTGCTCATTGGGGGACTTTTTTGGCTCCACCCACGCGACCCAGCCAATCGGCCTCAAGAGCAGGAGGATTGTGGGAGGTGGAGAGGCTTGTGGGAAGCCGGTGGTGGCAGTTGGGCTCTGAGGGTTTTTCCTGAGGCGCTGTTTTGTTTGGTGTGTGTGGTTCTAAAAATAAAATTCGTTTCTTTTGATAAGTGGCTCCTGAATCGTGCCCAGCCAGACTGCGGCACACAGACCCCACCCAGCCCTCTCCAGGCCTGCAGCCCAGGAGGCTCCAGCTCCACATGCCACCAGGGAGAAGCTGCCTCCCCAAAACCAGCCCCCAACAGGTCAATGGAAGCTTCACCAGCCTTGGCGTGGGCAGGGGACTTGAACCCACTATGACTTCACGGAGGAGGTCTGCTCCATCACAGAGGCCCTCAGCCGCACATGGCATCACACACTGGACCACAGTCCACACTGTCACACACAGTTTCGGCTGGTGACGGCCTCTGGGCCTCCTGAGGAGGCGTGCCCCTGCAGCCCTCCTGGCAGGTGGAGGGGCCAGGACAGAGGTGTCTGTGTCCCTGGGCACAGGAGTCCCGGGTCCCATCTAGTGCTGACTATATCCCCCACACCCTCAGGCAGGAAAAGCCCAGGGAGTCTCCTCACCACGTGGGCACCACCTGCAAGATGGCTCTGGGCGTCCTCCCCATAGGGCCTCCCAGGTGTTGAAGGGCATGAGGCTCTAGATCCCTTCTGGCACCCTCTGCAGAGGGCCAGCAGCAGAGGTGACCCGCGCATGGCAACCAGCAGGCCCAGCCCCACTGCGCCCACCTCCCTGAACTCCCTTTCTCAGTGAAAGCACAGGTCCCCAGTGGCAGCCGCCGGGCAGAAGACGTCACACTCACTGCTTCTGAACCGGCTTCCTCCTCTTCTTGCCCGCGTAGGTGCACTCCCCCGGTGGGATCATCATCTCTGGGCCTGAAAATGAAAAAGGGCAAATCAAGTTGGAAGCACCAGAGGACCCCAGGTGACCCTCCAGAGTCCACCACGATGTCCCAAAGCCACCAGCATCAGGAAGGTCAGCTGAGGCCACTCTGCTCTGGGGGTCCACACTGTCCTGACCCCAGTGCAGGGCAGCTAGGCATGGTTATCAGACTGCAGCAGAGCCACTGGCCCGCCGTTGGTCTGAGCAAAGTTCCTCACAGGCACTGGGGAGGAGGGCCTAGGCCCAGGAGCCACCTTCAGGAGCCGCGCTGTGAAGGGTCTCTCTTCATGGCCTCTGCTTGGGCCAACTGGCCTCCCCTTTGTGGAAAGCCTCTGCTTGACTCTGTGTGCTCGGCTCCACTCTGGCCTCCAGCTGGGCCGGCCAGTTCACCTGCCCCCACCTGAGGGAAACAGCCCCATTCACCTAGAGGGTCTTGATTTACCAAGAAGTTAGGGTATCAAAGCCCTAATTAGACTTCCTCAGACAACGGCAGTGGCCCAGGCTCCGGGCCTTGGGGGTGCTGAGACGCCCTCATCTGACCTCAGGCACATGCTGTTTGGAGGAGGAGACAGACACACACCCAACTGCACCAGGAGTGGTCATGAAGACACCAGAAATGTGTGCTGGACCCTGGGAACTAAAGACAGAGGTAAGCTGAGTAAAGGGACAGAAGGGCCACCCCACAGATGCCAATTGAAGACACCGGCAGCCGCATGAGGTGCCGATCAGGTGGCCTGCAGAACAAGGAGCATCACCAGGGACAAAGCAGCATCGCATAGTAGTCGCCTCTCCCAGAGGACATGGCACCCTAAATGTGTCCACACCCAGCAGCAGGGCTTCCAAGCACACAAAACCAAGGTGCCTAAACTGAAGGGAGACATTGGAGACATGGCCATGCCTCTCTCAGTGGTCAGCAGGACAAGGATAGTGGACATCAGCAAGGGTGCAGATGTCCAAACAGCAGCAGATGGAGCTCACGGAACGCGCAGAACACGCTGTCCAATGACAGCAGAACACTGTCCAGGAGAGATGGTGCCTGGACATCAGCAATCACAGACCACAGAACTGAACCAGAAAGGCAGCGGGAAAATACCAAGTCCCTGGAAAGCAACACACTTCAAAATAACCAGGCCAAAGAAAGGGCATCAAAGAAATTTTAGGAGTACTCTTATAAATGGAACAAAAACGAAAACATAAGTGCATCCAGTGCCACAGGACCCAGTTATGAGCACCGACAGAAATCTGTGCATCAAATGCTCACTGGAAAAATGAACCATCTCGGAACAATCTACACTTCAAATGTAAGCAACTGGAAGACAGAATGGACCCCAATCAAGAAGGATGTCAACAATAAAGAGGAGGCAGTGGGACTTGCAGCCTAAGGGTAAAGGACAAAAACCTCCAGGTGTTCCTTAAAACATCAGCAAAATTGAAGAACCTCTTGCCAGACACATCAAAGAAATAAGGTCATGATTTATAGGAAAGAAAGAAAAAACATCACTACAGATCCCACAGACACCAAAAGGAATGTAAGAGAATACTGTTATGGACTGAATTGTGTCCTCCCAAAATCCTATGCTGACCCTAATGCTTCCCAGGACAGTATTGAAGCCAGGGCCTGCAAGATGATAGGGTCACACCAGGTTACTGGATAGAGCCTTGCTCCCATAGGGCTGGCACCACAGGGAGGGGTGAGACACTCTGAGCTCCTGTCCCACCCTGTGAGAACAAGGCCACCTGCTAACCAGAAGTTGCCCACCCAAAACCAAGTCCTGATGTAGCTTGATCCTCAACTGACCTCCTGAAGAATCCTGGGACCGGTCCTTATGCAAAGCATTCAGTCTGCAGTATTTTGTTATGGCACCCAGCAACTAAGACAGACACTCTTCGTTATTCAAACATTTAGGTGAAATAGGAAAGCTAGGAGAGACACAAAACCCACAGATCACTTTAAAAAAATAGATACACCAGAGAGTCCTCTGTCTACTCCAACAAACCAGAGATACCCCAGACCGTCCTCAGTCTATTCCAACACACCATAGATACCCCCAACGAGTCCTCTGTCTACTCTAATAAGAAATAGATACCCTAGAGAGTCCTTTGTCTCCTCCAACACACCACAGATACCCCAGAGAGTCCTCTATCTACTCCAACACACCATAGATACCCCCAACGAGTCCTCTGTCTACTCCATCAAGACACAGATACTCCAGAGAGTCCTCTGTCTACTCCATCAAGACACAGATACCCCAGAGAGTCCTCTGTCTACTCCAACAAGACACAGATACACCAGACAGTCCTCTGTCTACTCTAACAAAGATACAGATATCCCAAAGAGTCCTCTGACTACTCCAACACACCATAGATACCCCAGACCATCTCTGTCTACTCCAACAAACCAAAGATATCCCAGAGAGTCCTCTGTCTACCCCAACAAGAAACAGATACACCAGAGAGTCCTCTATCTACTCCAACACACTATAGATACCCCAGAGAGTCCTCTGTTGCTGGGAGCCATTAGCCAAGTAGGTATGACAATTTCCTTGCCAGCGTACCCCATGTTGCTGACATGTTGCAGTGACATTGAATGTAAGTGACCTTGCTCAAGGACCAAGGCAGATTAGGGTGTTCCCGGTTTTAAGATAATCTTGTTTAGGGCGTTCCCAGTTTAGGTTCCAGGTTTAAGGTTTAAGATTATTCCTGCTGGGAATAGGGCGTATCCTGCTGCCTGAGTTCCCCTTGAGTTCTCACGGGATTCAGACAGTATATTTTGGAGATAGAAGCCCAGTGGAGGTGAATTTGGGAGAGAAGGTGGATTTTGGCAGAGAACGTGGATTTCCCCAGAACGTGATTGTAGATGGCTGGTGTGAGTTCGGGAATAAAGAGTTGCTGTTTGAATCTACAAGCTGTGTGGTGGCTCGTGATTGTGTGCCCAGCCAGACTGCGGCATTTGTGCCCAGCCAGACTGTGGCACTCTGTCTACTCCAACAAGACACAGATACTCCAGAGAGTCCTCTGTCTACCCCAACACACCAGAGATAACCTAGAGAGTCCTCTATTTATGCCAACGAAGACTCAGATACCCCAGAGAGTCGTCTGTCAACTCCAACAAGGACATAGATAATTCGGGTATTACTCTGTGAATTCCATAAATAAATTGATAACCCAGAGAGTACTCTATTGATTCCCACAAAGAAACATATAACCTGGATAGTACTCTGTCTATTACAAGAAGGCAAATCTTGGCCGAATGGCTTCACTGGTATATTTTACCAGTTTCAAGAAAGAGCAATTCCAATTCTCTACCATCTTTGGCAGAAAACCAATGAAAGATTTATACATTTAACTCATGTATGAGTTAATCATTACCCTCATTTTAAATGAAGACATCCCATGAAAAGGAAATTACAGGTCTACATTCCTCATGAACATAGACATAAAAATCCTCAATGAGGGGTTGGGGTTGTAACTTACTGGTAGAGTGCTTGCCTCACATGTGGGAAACGCTGGGTTCAATCCTCAGCACCACATAAAAAATAAATATAATAAAGGTATTGTTTCCATCTACAACTAAAATAGTTTTTTAAAATTCTCAGTGAAATGTTAGCACATGGACCTATCAATATATAAAGAAGATAATACATTCCACCTATGTGGGATCATAGAGGAATCCAGGGTTGCTGCAACACCCAAGAACCAATCACTGCATTCACTCTATCAACAAACTACAGAAAAGAGATTTGACCATCTTAATACATGCAGAAAAATCACTTGACAAAATCCAAATCCATATGCTAATTTGAAACCTTGCATCAAGGCAGGGCTGGGGTTGTGGCTCAGTGCTCACCGAGCATGTGTGAGGCCCTGGGTTCGATCCTCAGCACCACATATAAATAAATAAAATAAAGATATTTTGTCCACCTATAACTAAAAAATAAAACCTTACATCAAACTAGGGACAGAAGGGAATGTAACTGACTTGATAAAGGACATCTACAAAAAAGCCTGAAGCCAGCATCTCACCTACAATGAATGGACCTTGCTCTGAGGCCTTGAATGAGGCCCTACGCCCCAGTCCATGGTGATCATTGCATTTGTGTGAGGAGTCGGGTTCGATCCTCAGCACCACATAAAAATAAATAAATAAGTATTCGTGTCCAAACACAACGTGTGTGTGTGTGTGTGTGTGCACAGAAAATTTTCCAAATGTAATGAAAACTGGTAACCTCAGATCCAAGAAGTCCAATGAACCCCAAGCACAAGAAACCCAAGGAAGAGTATGTGATCACCAAACCAAGCACATGGTCACCAAACTGCTCACAACCAGTAGCAAACAGAATGATTTCAAAAGTCAGAGACTACATTGGGCACAGAGAAGCAGAAACCAGGACAGCAGACTCCTTGTCAGAGGCAACGCAGGGGAAAGAGAGAATCTGTATCTTTAATGTTCTAAAAGAAAAACACCCTGAACCCCAGAATTCTACACCCTGTGGAAACACCCTTCACAAGTGAATGAGGACACTTTCAGACACACAAAGGCTGAGGGTCCTTGCAGGGGCTGTGACAGTATTAAAGGAAGCCTTCAAGCCAAAGGAACCAATTCCAGGGGCAAGAGGAGCCTGCCACCTGGACAGAGAGCACAGAGAATGGCAACAGCATGGTAAGACGCTCATTTTCCACAAATACATAGAGGATGGTAGACTGTCCCATGGGGTTTGTCACCTACGTGGACACCAAAGACCAGCAGGGGAGGTGCTGGGCACCACTGAGACTGTCACCCCCCCCCCCCCCCGCTTCCTTGCCTGCTCTGCAGGAGGGAGCTGGACCTTGTGAGCGGCTCTCTGAAGCGTGAGCACTACTTCGCCTGCCAGGAGAGGGCACTGGGGAACCTGGCAGAAGGGAGGTACCTTAGGTCCTGCTCAGCACCAGGGAGGCTGGAGGCTCAGTGAACCCGCCATCCAGGGGCTGTATCACCCTTCTCCAGCAAGGCCTG